GAAGAATTCTGAGGCTGTGCCCTGCTTAGAGAGAGGGAAAGCCATAATTGATTAGTGATTCCTCACACAGATAGAGGAGAGAGAGTAGAAGCATGTGTGCCAAACATTTGTAATACCTGGACCAGTGTTTGGAGTTATTTCTTAGTAGTGGAAACAGCTTTTCCCTGATTCATGGTCTTTCCTAATTTTCCTCTCTTGATAAATGAGATATACTTACAAAATGACTCAAGTGTAGTAATCAAAGACCACAAAGGTAACAAGCACATCAGAGACCAGTCCCTCACCTTACTTTCATTGTGACTGAACGTTACCCACCTAAACTCAACAGCCAGAGACCCACAAAGGAGATTAATTCAAGAAGTGGAAAAGGGAAGTCAGATCACAAAATGGTGCCTTGAAACAACATTCATCTGTGCTGCACGTGTTTTGCAAGTTGGCCCTACTGTCAATAAAAATATATTTTGATGGAATCAGTGTTTTGTGATAAAAATTGGGACAAGAATAAACTGTGCAATATTCTTTTTTTGTGTGTTTTGATTCAAAAGCAATTGTCATCCAAATCCAATTTCAGAATCATTATTTTTGTTGAAAGAATACTAAGTATGAAAAGAGGGGTCACAGCTTGAGTTTCTGATATAGTGCTGGATTTATCCAGCAGAGTGAAGAACTGACATTTGGAAATATTCTTGTTTACCTGTTCACCTAGAAAACTGTTCTCTAGAAATCACTGCCAAAGGGACTGTATGGTCTTCACTAATTTTCTGATGCAATATTTATGGTCACAATAAAGATTCATGCTCCAGGTTTCAAAGTAGGTAAAGCTCTGTAGGGAAAAGAAAATATTAATTTGTCTACTTATAATTTTACTTAAAAAATATTTTCTTTTTCAACTTCATTCTTAACATTTCTTTATTCTTAAATTTCTGATTTTCTGGTAATTTCAGACAATTATCAACAAAAACATGTTATAGACTAGGTTTATGTACTTTTTGTACTTCTAAACTTGAAATGTATAATGGTTATATCTCATTGATTCTCTGAGGAGGCAATATACTCCTGTTCTGACATTGTTTAAAATGCTTTTATTTTCTTCTTTTGTACTCCTGATCTTCCCTGCCCTCCGCCTACCCTGTGCTCTCTCATCAACTCTTATTTACTATTAACTCACTAATAGCACACTTTTTCCACTTGGAGTTATTTTCTTACATTCCATTGTTACAGATATTTATTGTTGCTCAACAAACCACCTCAAAACCCAGGGGCTATAATCTCTTAGTTCTGTAGATGGACTGGGCTGACCTGGCGAGGTTTCGCTTCGAGTCATTCATACAGTTGCAGTCAGATGTCAGCTGGGGCTGCCGTCATCCAAAGACTATGGAAGGCTGGGGGCCTAAGTTAACTCTGGCACATGGTTGAGAACGCTGATGGTGGCATTAGCTGGGAGCTCAGCTGAGGCCATGAACTAGAGTGCCTACACGTAGCTTCTCTGTATAGCTTGGGCTTCTTCCTGCATGGTGGCTGGGATTCAAGAGGGAAGTGTCTTAGGACAGAACATTTCATGAGGCTCAGGCCAAAGCTCCAAGGTTTCTTATGAACGAGTCTTGGAAGTTCAATAATATTACTTCCGCTATGGTCTGTTGGTCAAACAAATCACAATGTCCAGCCCCTATTCCAGAGGAGGGTAATTAGATGCCATCTTTTGATTGGGAGGTAACAAGGTCACCATGGAGAAGAATATGTGGAATGGGAAATATATTGGAAAATATATTCTGTCAGATTTATTTTTATTCTTTAAAAAGGCATGCATCATATCTTTTACCCTAAATAGTTCTTGATCAAAGTGATTAGGTCCTTGGAGGATAAATGTCAGATATCTTAGAGATCTTAAAAAAATTGGGAAATGAATTCAGGTGAAGGCTGATGCCAAGCTATGTGCACACAGAGGACAGTGGAGCTATGTATGTGGGAAAAGTGCATTGGGTTGGAATTAAGAATTGGGAATTTTAATCCTGACACTCCTAAGGTTTTATAAATTTAAATAAGACACCTTACATCTAACCTTTATACTTCTGGTTTATAAAATGAGGGTTAGATTTGACCAGAGCTTTTCTATCCTGGCTGCACACTAGAATCATGTGAGAAACATTAAAAAAATAAATAATCCCTTACAACCATTCCAGACAAGTTAGGGTGAAGAGATTGATAGCAGGATACGTTTCTCCCACCCTGCGCCCCCATCAGTTAAGATTGAGAAACACTAGATTAGATCTGTAATACTTTACCAAATACATTACCTTTCTTCAGAGTCTCCGTTATGGACCTTGATGGCACATTAGAATCACCTAGCAATGTGATTGTTCAAACTCTGGGGTAGGTTGGTATTTGCAAAAACTCCCCGGATTATTTGAAAATGAAGCTGGGGTTGATTATTTCTGCCACAGTGGAATGTTTTTCAAACTTTAGCATACATCAGAAGTATTGTAAATACATGCATTTTCAGTTTTCGGTATATTATGATGTCTTGACATCTTAAAAAAACTTTCTGGTTGGGGAGAGTCTGCCCTTCCCAGGGCTAGCTAATGTCTAATGATGATAACCTGCCTCGGAGTATGCCTTTCATATACAAAACAACCAATCCTGAGTTTATGCCCCCAGCTACCTCCTTATCTAACTCTTACACACCAAGACAATTTCCCCCCTGCCCTAAATCATCCCAGGGCCAGGTACCAGACTACTAGAGAGGCCAACTCTACAGCCCAAAGCCCACTGGAATTATTCAAACTAGCCAATCCTAAACTGTCTATTCTGTTCTGTCTTGCCTTTCCCTGGCAACTCCAATAAAAGCTGTGCCTTCAACCCTCTGCTCACTTCTGTCTTCTGCCTCCTGACCCCCTAGTGTTTTCCCCTGTGACTCTGCATGGCATGCGGTAACTCTGTATGGGATTCCTGAGGATAATAAACTTCTTCTAAGCCTGTCCTCTTCTCCTCTTGTGGCACACCAACCTTACCATACCATATCCAACAAAAATCACTCGAAGGGCTTTTTAAAACAGATTGCTGGGCCCCACCCCCAGGGTTTCTGATTCAGTATGCCTGAGATAGGTCTGAAAATACGCATTTCTAACAAGTCCTCAGGTGATGCTGATGCTGCTGGTCTGGGGACCACATTTTAGGAATCGCTCTGAGAATTGCTGCAGTGTTGAGCTATCATTATTAGCATGAGTGGATTGGGGAAGCCCCTGTCAGTTGACTGAAAATAGCAGTCAACTCACTAGAACAGTGCTCCGACTTGAATGTGCATCCCTGGTGATTGTGTTAAAATGTAGCTTGTGCATTTCTAACAGGTGCCCAGGTGTTGCCCACGCTGCTGGACCGCAGAGAGAATACTGTGTAACAGGTGCACATGAATAAGGAACCTATAGAAACGATGATAAACCTAAGATCAGCCATTAGGGGGATTATGATTTTTAAAAAGACCAGGTAGAGAGCCCCATGTGAGTTAGCCATGTAAACAAGTTTGACAAAAGACAAGTGGTCCTGGAATGACCTGCTGTACAGACACAGGAGCTGAAGACTCATGATCCTGCCATCTTCCACAATAATTGGGCCTTTAATGGGCTTTTCTTGTCAGCATCTTGTTTTTCATGTATTAGATTCCTTGTTACAAAATTTATTGTGTATAATGTATGTGAGGAATGTAGAAAGTATACAGAAGAGAACAACAAATATAGCCCCATTTAAAAAAATTGCTTTGGCCCAGAATCAAAAAAAGTCTTAAAAGTAGGTGAAAATAGCAGTCAAGTTTGAGTAGTCAAAAGACTTCACTAACACAAAACTATTCCTACCATACTCAAAGCTTCCTGATGCCTGAATTGCCATTAGAAATTCATTTTTTTGGCGGTGGGGGTTATGGAATGTTAACACGCAAAAGCTCCTGGATTATTATTCCTTGATTTGTGTTCTGAACGAGATGACACACAAGAAGTGGACATATGTGGATGCTCTTGGGATATATACAGTTTTGGCACTATCTTTCGAGATTCAGATATAATAGATTTGCCACCAATCTCTATTTTAAAAATCTCTCTGGGTGATTCTTATGTGCATCCTCAGTGGGGATCCGTTGCCTTAGTGGGTCCTTTCCACTGAGAATAGTATTGCTCAGAATGAGGCCAAGTGAGGCAGGAGACAATGGAAAGCATGTAAGATTTAGTGTCAAAAGTCTTTTGTTTGAGCCTCAGCTCTGTCCTTAAAGTATGGTCTTGGGTAAAATGTCTCTACGTCTGTAAAATGAGAATTCTTAATAATAGATTCCTCACGATGTTGTTGTCAGAGTTAAGTGAGATATTGCATAAAAGCACCTTGCAGATTCTAAAGCACACAAATATTATTGTAATCACTGAGCTATACAAAAGTTAAGTGCTGATGGTGAGAGACATGGAAGATATCCCATTAAGTTTTTTTGTGTGTGAGCTATCTTTATGTATATTTATGAAGAAATGTAAAGAGAATGGGGTTATTTAGCTTGAAGAAACCTCAGCACTACCGATGGTAGTTATTCTTTGGGGTGGGTTATTCTTTGTTGTGGGGGGAGAAGAGGAAGGGCTGTCCTGTGCAGTGTAGCATGTTCAGCATCCCTAGCCTCTACGCACTAGATGCCAGTCACCCCCTCCCACACTCCCAGTTATGATAACAAAATGTTTCTGGAATTACCCAAAGTATTCTGGGAGGCAAAACTGCCCCCCATTAAGAATCACTACTATAAAAGCAGTTACCATCTTCAATTAAGTGATTAAAACCAGTTGATCAACATAATGAGTACCTGGTTTTCAACTCCACTCCACACGACAACCGAAAGCACCATTCACAACATCAAGAAGGAACTAATAGTCACGTATTTAAAACTTGGAATTGTTTATCAAATGCAGCCCTTTGAACAATGTATCCTGGTTTGCCCAAGATGTTAGCACAGAAAATCCCAAGTCTTAGGAAACTCCTCCCTATTCTTTATAGGGAGAGAAGGGCATCATTCCACATTTGTTGGCAATGAAGTGAACTGACATTTGCTGGGCACCTGTGTTGGGTGAATCAGGTGTCTCACATGCTTCTATCACTTTATCCTCACAGTAACCCTGCAGGGTAGGTGGTCCCATGTCAGAAGAAGCAGCTGAAACCCAGAGTAATATAGAAACTTCCCTCGGATCACAGAGCTAGTGGGTGGCAGAGGGAGGGTCCAACTTCAGGTGTTTCTCCATTGAATGCATTCTTTCCAACACTCTCACTAGTGGGCTTAATTATTTCTGGACCCTTAAGTTGCAATCTATTTTTCTAGGGTTTTGGAAGTGTTTCTAAATGAGGGAAGTAGGATCATAATTGCTAGCCCCTCAGTCTATTACTGTTAAGCTCTTCTTAGTGAGTTTCCAAGATTAAAGTTATTTGGGGTAAATATCTTCTTGCTTCTCTCCCGGTAGAGGAAGAGAACCAGAAAACCACTTGAGTATCCTACTTTGGAAGTAGAATCAAACTATGAGAATCCATGTTTACTAGGGGCCCAGAGGCTATAGTTGGAGTCCATCAGATTCCATTAGAGTCAAAAAATCTCCTGCAATTCCATCTAGCTCTCCAGGTGAGAGAGCAATGTTTGGGTTTTTCAATATGTTTTGGTTAATTATATTGCATAATGGCCCATCTGCTGTAAAAGATACATTGATTAACAGCAAAATTATATTACAGATGTCTCATTATGTTGGAAATGCTATTATCTGTCTCAGTTCACTGTAATAGGACAGAGCACAGTAGCTTAAAATTGTCCTCAGTCATGGGAGAACCTCAGGGGGAGAGGAGATTAGGAGAATGATATAAATGAGGAAGTAAGACACTGAATGTAGCTATAGGATCTGGAAAGCAACTAAAAATAGGCTGAATGTTTCTACAGACTGGAACTAAAACCCAGGCAACCACAGGGGTGTATAATGCTTTTCTAGAGAAGTAGTCTTGTACAAATGCTAATGAGAAAATTAAGGATAACCGAAAATTGCTACTTGTCACTTATTTAGTGAGCATGACTTGTCAAAGAAACAAATTTGCTGAAGAAAATTAGTTATTTAAGAATAACTATATCTGTCTACAGTTTAGAGAGATTTGTAGGTAACTTTTTAGGTAGGATCAACATAATACAACTGAGATGAACAGAACTCTAATGTGTGTGTGGTAAGCTCTTCATGTAATGAGAATCATTTGATTTATTGGACATGTAAGAAGAATAAGGTTCTGTATTGCCGCCTGTGTTCCAATGACAAAGTAGAACATTAGCAGATTCTGGCTACACTGACCCTTTGCTCTTAATCTCATGGTTAGGTTTTTGAAAACAGGGAATTTGTGGATTACTAATCTTCACTAGGAGCCCTGGTCTTCTAAGGAACTCAAAAATGATATGGAGGGATGGAGCATTAAAGATACTCTTTAGCTGATTCAGTCTAAAGAGACAGTTCAGGGAATGTGAAAATCATCTTCACCTATTTGAAGAAGTTGCAGGTAGAAGACAGATTAAGTTTTTATAAGTAACAAAAGAGTCCATCATTGGCATCTTGGGTGGAAGTTACCGGGAGACAGATTTCAACTTCACTCTAAGGCAGAACACCGGGCTGTTCCAGAAAGGAATGGGCTGCATGATGGGATAGTAAGTTTTCAGGCATATCAAGTTCATGTGTGTTTGTTCATTCAATCATTTATTCATTCACTTAACAAATAGTTATAAGTGCCTACTATGTGCCAGGGACTGTTCTAAATTCTGGGAATATTGTTATAGGCAAGCAAGATGAGGTCCCTGATCCTCCTTATATTCTAGAGTAGGGGTTGACAAACTTTTTCCGTAAAGGGCCAGATAGAAAATTTTAGGCTTTGCAGGCCATATGCTCTCCATTGCAACTAATAAACTGTACCATCATATTGCAAAAGCAACTACAGACCACGAGTTGGCAAACTGGCCTACAGGACAAATTCTGCCAACCATCTGCTTTTGTAAATACAATTATACTGGAAAACAGCCCACCCATCCATTTCTGTGTTGTCTGGATCTGTCTTTATGCTATAAGGGCGAAGTTAAGTAGTCGTGACAGAAATGGTATGCCCTGGAAAGCCTAAACTATTTACTGTCTTACCCTTTGTAGAAAGCATTTGCTGATCTGTGCCATATGACATATATAAACAAAGGATTGTGGCTATGTTCTAATAAAACTTCATTTATGGGCACTAATGTCTAATTTTATATAATTTTCACGTGTCACAAGCTTTTCTTTAAAAAACTTTTTCGGGGACCCTGTGTGGCTCAGTCGGTTAAGCATCTGCCTTCGGCTCAGATCATGATCCCAGGGTCCTGGGATCGAGCCCCATGTCAGACCCCCTGCTCACTGGGGAGTCTGCTTCTCCCTCTCCCACTCCCCCCTCCCACCACCGCTTGTGCTCTCTCTCGCTCTCTTTCTCTCAAATAAATAAAATCTTTAAAAAAATGAATTTCAATCATTTAAAACTGTAAAAACTACTCTTAGCTCACAGGTCATTCTAAAACTGAGGTGGGCTACATTTGGCTTGTGGGTCACAGTTTGCCAATCCCTGTTCTAAAGTTATTTAGCCAATTCACATATCTGGGATATTACTATTTTCACTGGCAAGAGTATTTCTAACCTCATTTATGCTGATAATTACAAATTTCACCATTATGCTAATTAACAAACTGGTGTTAAGCAGAGAAGAAGGTCACCACAGTGCTTTTGCAGTTATCTCTAGAGTGTGGGGACTTCTTCAAAAAATTCCAGTTGCCTTCTCCCGCTTCTACCATTTCAGTGTAAAATCCTGATGAGGACATCTGAATGTGTTAGGGTTGTATTTTAGCCCATGCTATCATACTGCCTATGCTGAAGTATTTTGGAGTAAATTACAGACATTAAAACACCTTAATATTTAGGGACATTTAACTCTTTTCCTCAGCATTCCCTTTATAGCCTTTTGAGCATACTTTGCATAATTAAAAAGGCCTCTGAATCTCTCAACAGAAGAGCCGTCCCTCTGGGAGAGTATATTTAGAAGCTGGCTCTAATTTTCTTTTTTCCCCCTCAAATAGCAACATTTTTCCTTTATGTTACACATCAGAGTCAAAGGGAAAAAAGTAAAAGTATGGGATTAGGTGTTTGACTGAAGTGATTATTAAGTTCAATTTTAAATGGTTGATCTAATACCACTTTTAGGTACTACCTGAATATTTTGTTCTGAAGTACTTTCATTTTTTTTTCCCTAGGATAAATTTTTGTTTTTGGCAAATGTCCTACCTCTGTGCCGAAATTCTCAGAGTGAAGCTGTAAATCCTCTTTTTATCTAGTCCTTATTGATCTCTTTTTTTTTAAAAGATTTTATTTATTTATTTGAGAGAGAGAGAGCACATGAGAGGGGGGAGGGTCAGAGGGAGAAGCAGACTCCCTGCCGAGCAGGGAGCCCAATGTGGGACTCGATCCAGGGACTCTAGGATCATGACCTGAGCCGAAGGCAGTCGTTTAACCAACTGAGCCACCCAGGCGCCCAGTCCTTATTGATCTCTTAACCTTGAGCTATCTCTCTTTCAATTGTTAAAAGACAGATCATAGGGCCCTTCGGTTTTTAAAATCTTTTTTTTTTTCATGAATTTGTAGATTTAATTCTGAAAACTGAAATTATTTTCGAGTTATAAAATTGAATTTCCCTTCCCACTTGATAGATTAAAGTGTTTTTCACTTTGTGCTTATTTTGCCATTGGATTGACTCATGTCGTTTTTGAGGAGCTAACACCAGTAAGTGTCTCATTAAGAGAGCAAATGCCATGTCTTATTACTGGAAACTCCCAATGAGGGGCAAATGGGACTCTAAATAAAAACTTGCCGACAAACCATAAGAGACTCTTAATCTCAGGAAACAAACTGAGGGTTGCTGGAGTGGTGGGGGGTGGGAGGGATAGGGTGGCAGTGTGATAGACATTGGGGAGGGTATGTGTCATGGTGAGCTCTGTGAATTGTGTAAGACTGATGAATCACAGACCTGCACCCCTGAAACAAATAATACATTATATGTTAATAAAAAAATTAAAAAAACTTGCCAATGATCTAACCATTGGGTTGACCTTAAACTAAATAATTTACAGCAGCATTGTCCTCAAACATAAAAGGTGACATTGTCTTGGCCTATTTATTTGACTTGTTTATTTACCTTGAAATTAAAACAAATAGGTGTTTTGTGAGTAAAGGGTGGGACTGGGGTTTCCACTGACTTCAAGCATTGACTCTTTGCCCTTCTCTGCCAAGAAGCTTGCTAGAGAGAGGTCAAGTCACCTGACTAATGGGGTGGTTGTTTTATGTGGCTCAATTCTTATCTAAAAAAGTCCTTCACAGTAAAATTCTTATTTTTTATGTGAACATGTGAGATTTATTTGTAAAAGTTTATGTAGGTTACACACATAGAGAATACAAACAAATCAGTGCTCACTGCTAACACAAACACTGCTTTCCTCCTTTCCTTCCTACAAAAAGGGATATTTAATTTGAAAAGTGGAAGGATGACTTCTGTTTTGGGGGCATAGACACAAATCCTCTGAAACTGATGTTGATTCTGGGACATGGACAAATGCAAGCACACCGATGGCATAATTTGTAAGCAGTGATTACAGTTATTACATTCACTGTGATCTGTTATGCACAGACTCAATTCCCTTGACCCACTATTGCAAGGTTAGATACTTCGACCAAATCCAAACTCTGGTTAAATCCAACTCTTCCCTGACTCTGCCTGGACCCAAGCAGCTGACCGTGGGTAGGAAAAAAGCACATAATTATGAGAACTGGTGTCGGCTTCATTTCATTGCACTGACCTTAAGTTGGCCCTGAATATTGCCAAGCAACTTGACTGCACTTCTCCCTTTCCTCCACCATTCTCTCCCAGACTATCTCAAACCCAGAGAGGCACTGAGAAGTGTTTATGAGGGTTGGGGGGTGGGTTGGGTGCAGGGAGTGGACATAAATTACCAGGGCTGATTTAGAAGGGATCAGGTCTGCAGTCAAATGCGATGTCCAAATTAAAAAAAAAAAAATTGAAAGATTTATTTATTAGAGAAAGAGAGAGAGAGCACGAAGCAGGGAGAGTGGCAGG